CCCGGTTTGGCTCAGATGTGGAGGTCCCAAACCTTTCTGTGCAAAGACTGGGTCGGACACGGACCTGTGGCGGCTCAGTCTGTAGCAGCCAAATTTCTGCCTGGCTGGGGTGCGAGGTTTCTGCATAGTGATGGTTTTGGGGGCACAGGCAGTGCTGCAGCCCCTACACAGCAACGGCTGCCAGGAGCAGGGGTTTCAAAAGCTGTGGGGAACGCTGGGCCGAGCGCATACTTGATACTGTCAGATGTACACAAAGCCTTGTGGCTGAATACACACGCCTTAGAAATTATACAAAAGAGTTAGTTTTATTAAATCATCTAATTACAAAAATAAATGGAAGAAAAATAAAACAAAAATTATACCAAAATTCACATCCTAAAGGAGATTTTACAGCAGGCGGCTGGGGAAGCTCGGCACAACAGCTGGAATGGACCCCTGGCTCTGCACCACCAAACTGTTGTGACCAACAGCAACCCGTTCCAGCCACACGGCTCAAGTTGTCCCAGAACTGCACAGGGTGAGGGCAGATGTACCAAGCTGCAGAGCACCAAGTGCGCTTCATTGGAAGGAAACTGGATAACCGAGTATCCTTCACTGTCCCATACACCCCAGCCCTCTCAAGATTATTTTATCAGACAAAGCTCTCAGCCAACACAAACAGTGGCTCCGCGTTAGCTCAGGCCATGTTAATAGAAAGTGTCTGCGTAAACACTGAAAAAGGAATCAGACCAACTAAACATGTTGCTGCTGCTATCTGTGGCCCTGAGCAAGTGGCATCACCGAGACTTCAGCCCGATTCCTCAGTCGGCTCTTTCCTCCTCAAAAGGGAGAATACTGCTCATTGGTAGGAGTGTCCTGACAGATGGCAAGCAAGAGGTTCAAGTTTGTGAAGCGTTCTGACATGAAGACTGCTGTGTGAAAAATACTGCAAGATTCCTTCTCTAGTTAAGTAGAACGGAAGTTGGCAGATGCCATCCTGAGAGAGCTTTAAAGCAGCCAGAATGTCAAGAACATTGGGAAGCAGAGGAAAAACCCCATGATGCTCACTATCCCCGTCTGGCTCAAGTTTATCCCAAACAAATTCAACTGCCAACACTCCAGTGTGTACTCACTGAGATTCCCATGGAAACAAACTGGATTTCTAATGAACTCTACACATAACTGTCCTGTAAAAGCAAACCTAACTCTAATTTGCTACAACAATCAACTTTGTCTTTACTTAACACGTTCTCTAAGGGAGATGAACACTCATGGCAATGTCCCAGGGGTGGAGAAAGCACCGTGGCTATCCAGTGTGCAGAAACCTGCAAATACAGCTCCAGTGTGCTATCCTGGCTGGGAGATGCTCGATACAGCAGGTGGAAGACTTCCAGCAGGGCAGTGCTGCCGGGAGGAACACATTTAGCAGTGGAGGATCCTCTTCAGGAGTGCTCTGGGGGCCCTGCCCCGTGCCCGTTGACATGGGGGTGCGATGGAGTTGAGCTCTGGGAGGTGGCAACGCTCTGCTCTGCTGCGGCAGCTGTCAGAGGCATGGAGAGGCTCTCGGGGGACAGCGTGGCAAAGTCTTGTCTCCAGTAGGCTTCGCACAGTGGGAGATCATTGCTGTCACACAGACTGTAGCTTTCCAGAACAAACAACCCCAGTGAGGAGAGAGAGCAGGTGCAATAAGAGAGGAGGGGAGGGAGGGAAAGGGCAGGGGGAGCAAGACAGAAGCAAAGCATTAAGAAAATGGCAAAAAAAACATTCACGGGGGTAAGGTCTGTGTTCACAAATTAATCCCAAGTCTTGTGACACTTCCCTAAGACAGCCCTGAAGGGCTGGTCTTGAACCTCATGGGCCTGGGGAGGTTCAGGGAAATCTGAGAGACAAAACTGTTGCTACAAACTGCAGCAGAGGCTCAGTTCTAACCCAGTCCCTGGAAAGATCCGGGCTGAAATCCCAGACTCCAAATATGGGAGTTCTACTGATCTGAGTGAGGCAAGGACCTCATCCATATTCATTTTACTCAGAGTTAGATCACAACCTGTGTGAGGAAAAATATATAAAGCCTGCTCTAAATTTAAGTTCAGCAGAAAAGCTAACGCAATTATTTCAGGGTCTGTCCCTGTCATGATCAAGAAGAAACCTATTTGCACCCTTCCCCTTCCAGTAAAGTGCTCCACAGAATGGGTTTTCTATTGAAGCTCCCCAGCCCGATTATAAAAGTACTGACAGCTCCCACCATTTTCTGCAGAACCTGAGCTGTTTTCCTAAAAGCAACCTGCTGGATTTGGTCACTGTAGGCTGAGCCAGCAGTGGGGGGCAGTGATGTTTTTAAACAACTGACTAATTCTTGCCTGCGCTCTGAGGAAACACAATGGGGAAGGGCCCAAACTAAAACGAAAGATGATGGAAGAAACCAGAACAAAACCAAAACAAATTCCAAAGAGAGGAAGGAGCTGCACACACAACAGACAACCAAGACAAAGTGAGTGCTGGAGCAGAAAGCAGCTTGCAGTCAGAGTAAAACAAACCCAATGGGTCACGTGGTTTTGTTGTTGCAGCTTTATTTACACTTTTAATGTATGGACTTGAATAGATGCTTTGGGAAATATTTTAAGTGTAGAAATACGAGACACTTCAAATTGCACAAACACGAAACATGTCCAACCCCACACTCAAGACAGCTCCTGTGATCTCAGAGGAGGGAGCAATGGAACATAAATGCAAGTTTGAAGTTTAGGATGAGCGTAGGCAAGCTAGACTTGGCATTACTGCTTTGAGGAGTAAGCACACAAAGCACTAGTTGCAAGCATCTACTTCGGAGCTCTTGTCTGGCTGGTTTTGTCATAGAAGTAGGAAGGCAGTGGATACCGGTTTTATATTTGGGCCCTCTGTGAAATCCCTTGGATGATCACCCTTCCCTACAGTCCCCAACACAACGTGGGTGCAGTCAGCACAGACCTTCAGAACTGAACCAGAACTACAACTCCTTTTCTGCCTTAGACCCCAGGCTGTGGTTTCCAAGGAGAACCTGGCCACAGCAGCCACCGCATCTTGGCAGGGCAGCTACTATGAAAATTTTAGCTGCATCAGAAGCATAACTGCTTCTCCTGCTGCCCCAATTAGAACAGTCCCAAAAGTCTAAGCTTCGCCTCTCAAGTAACACTCCTCAAAAGCCATAGTGAACGAGCAGCTACTGCACAACCCACAACAGCACTGCCCAATCTGCTTCTCTGTCCTTTGACTGAGGGTTTGTCAATGTGAGGAAAGGACTTCACTACTTCTCTCGGGACAGGCAGCCAGGTCTGCGTGCAGAGGAACAGCTCTACTTAATACAGGGACCAAAAGCACAGATTCCTTCAGAACAATCTACTCAGCCTTAGTTTCAAGGACCTGCTTTCAGGTCTCCTTATCAAAACCCCCACGTACAGATAAAAAGCCTAGCAATAAAACTTGATCCTACACCTGAGGCACATCCTGTTAGTTACTTGCTGTGGGCAAGGGGCTGTCTTCTAAGCCCCTTCAGCACAGTGGCAGTGACAAACACTGGGCAGGAGACACTCACTCCCTTCCACAAGTTTTTCACAGGGACCAAACAAGCTACCCAGCACAGAGCAGCTCTCAGCTGGAGGCGTCCTGCTGCAGAGACCTCAATGCTCTACAGCCTTCCCTGCAGGGATCACCTAAAATAAAGTAACCAGTGACCTTCAGGGAAATTGGAGCACGGGAGAGCAGTTTGGCGGGACAGCTGTGTGGAACCCACGTCCTGGCCTCGTGGGGCTGCACACTTCTCTATAAACCCGTGGGACGGAGCCCCATGAGACGGTAACAGACGGTGCAGAGAGGCAGCCCCGGCCGGGCTCCCAGGACAGCACAGAATGCCCGTTTGTGGGCAAACCAGCTACTGCCTTTACAGCCACATAAACGTGATTATCCCTCTATGACTATATGACATAACAGAAACCCTTTTCCCCACATTAGACAGTAAGGTTTCATTAAAAATATCTTAGTACTCTAATTATAAAAGGACTTTGAATAAATCACTGTTTCTGTATTTACAGACACAAAATTTCTTTGGTGCAGAAAAAGACAGGAAAGAGCACAGGAAGGCAAAAAGTGCTAAAAGCAAACGACCTAAGTGCTACACGATATGAGGCTTCAGCGGAGGGATCATAGCTCTGGAGAGCTGCCAAGTTTTCTCATCTCATGACCACTCTTACAAGAAAGAGCACGAAGGCAAATCCGTTTGCTGTATGCCAACATTTGTGCTTGGATGTTAGTTCTGTTAGGAAGGGCTGCGTCTGGAGACCATGCCAGCATGATCAGAATCCCTTCGTCCAGAAGTTAAAACTAAAGTGGTGGCACTCTGGTGACAGTGAGAAGCACATCTGGCACACGTGAGGCACTATCAACCCACACCACATCGCTTTGGATGCAGCTCACTCCATGCACATAGTGAATGGCCCCTGACCTTTCAGGGCCTGGATCTGTGCTTGGGTTTGCCACCGTCGCTCTTAATTTCTGAGCTATTTCAAGGATCCCTTACTGCTGCCCCAAAAAACTGAGTAAAGTTTGAAAAACAACTCTAAACTTTTACCTCAAGTTTTCTTCCAATGTCGTATCAGTTCCTAAGCTATGTCATATCAATGTCTGTTTACTCTTAAAATACATGTATTACCCATAAATAATGGCCTAACTTCTGAAGATATTGAACAATTAGTGTTTTAGTTGACTTAGCTGGAGTTATAGGCATTCAGCATCTTTAAAAAGAAGGAAAAGGCAAAAATAGAAAACCTGGTCATTAAAATTTTAAATAACGATTTTGAAAGGTTTTGTTTAGAAGTCATAGCATTATTGCACTGATTTCACTTAGCTTGGACAGTGCAGCCAATATAATCAGGTTCTTATTTGTTTTCTCCTGCTTTCATTTACTGCATTATCAACTAGAAGTGCTGGAGTGCATGGCAGAAAATAAAACAAAAAGTAGTGTCTGAATTCTCTAAAGCCGCTGAGTCTTGTTAAAATATTAAAAATCCTACAAACAAGTCAGTAATAAGTCTCCCATAGAAAATCCTATCACAATACTTCATAATTCAATGACACTGAGCAAGTCTTTTTCTGCTCATTGCAAACGTTCACCCCAAGAGGACTCCAGGCAGCCAGGGGCAGTGGATTACGAGGGAGAAGGCACACTGTGTAACCAGGACACTTGTGAAAGAGCTCACCACGAAGATGTGGTGATCTCACCTAACATCAGGACCCAGCTCAGCAAGCTGGTCTCTCTAGGGAGAGAGAGGCAGGCTATTCCAGAGGGATACTCAGACAAAAGCCTGTAGTCCCAAGGAAATTAATCTCCTTTGACAATTAATACAAAGGAAGCCTAAGCAAATTATCTGTCAAATCTAGGCAACAAAAGCAGGCACCTAGGGTTGGCTGCTGTGAATACTTCCTTCACCATGGCATTTATTCCCTGTAGAATATCTACAAGGAAAAGGCAGCTATTTTAGTTGCAGAAGAAGAATTTGACCTAATTAAAAACGGGAGTGACATTTTGCTGGGAACACTCTCAAGACCTGTACTCTAAGAACTACTTGTTTGTCTAGACTAACTGCCCCAAACTGGGTGGAGTCATAAGGCAGAAGTCCACTGCCCTATTTGTACCTGGAAGAGTAATATTCTTCTTCTAGCTCGTATAGGTCAATGGAGATCTCATCCCGTAGTGCAATCAACTTCTTGTCACATTCCTCCTGCAAGCTTCTCAGCTGCTGGTTGCGCTGGTTGATAGCTTCATTCACAGAGGGGAAATCATTGAGGATCAAGAACTGCTTCAGGTCAGACACAAGCTTCATCAGGGACTCACCAGCTCGCACCTTGCAGTGGGGAGAAAAATCCCATAGCACACAGTATATCAAAACAGTGCTTTGCTCCAATTCTAAAACATCATCTCCCAAGCTGCTCCTTCAGCCCAAGCCCTGAATAAAGTAAAAACTCCCAAGTTACGTCAGGATTCTGACAGAAGCCTGCAGCTGACAAGCTGGACTATGCAGCTTTCCCCCTAAAGAAGGAATTCACCCAACAGCTACCCCAAATACCAGGTGACTCTTCCAGCAGCAGACCTTGTGAGAGTTATAAAGGCTGCCTTAGATACAAGAATGAACCAAATAGCACCTGAAGGATGTGCTGCCCACTAATTTAAACAGCAGATGCTACTCACAATGTTTGCAGCTCTGACGTGCATCTCATAGTTATCTTGTTCACCCTGGGTTGCTCGAGAGACTTGTGTTTCATCCTCAATCTAAAGAAAAAGGCGTACATACTAAAATCCTCATACGTGATTACTACATTATAAGGCATCTCATTTTGGTACAGTTCACACCTGCGACCCCTAGGGCAGCCTCTGGACTCTACGGCATCCACGGATCACTGCTGCTACCCTCCCCACTTGCTTCTGCGGTTGTCCCCCGTTGAGGAACACCGCGTCGCTGCCCACAGGGCTGGACACAGGGAGGCCAGCAGCAGCCGGGAGACCACCGCCCGCCCTGGGGAAGGAGTCCTCTTCCCTCACGGCTGCCCTCGGGGGAACCGGGAGAAGGGTTCCCCCATCGTCTCCCTCAGGGTCTCAGAACCACCGTCTCTCCCCTCACGGCCCCCCGTCTCTCCGCAAAGCTGCCCACGATGAAAACCCACCCCTCTCCCCTCAGGAGCCCGGGTGCTCCCACGGGCACGCTCCCCTTCCCTCACGGCTCGGCTACCTTGGCTGTCTTGATGATTTCGGTGAAGTTATCCATGATGGACTTGACATCATCCTTGAGACGCTTGTTGTAGGACTGCAACAGGGTCTCCTTGCTCTGCGGCAGCACCCTCTGCTGCTGCGCCATGACGAGCAAACCCTTCCTCCTCCGCCCACC